TGAGCACGAGGCGCTCCGGTTCCGCATCGCACCGCCCCCGGCTGGGGGGGAGCCGGCACCGCACTCCGCCCTGTGCGCCCTGCGCTCCACCTCGCTGGGCGCCCCCTGCACCCCGCGGTGCGAATCCTGCGCTGCTCCCCGCTCTGGGCACCCTGCTCCCCGCTGCGTGCACCCTTCATCCCGCTGCGTGCACCCTGCTCCCCGCTGCGTGCACCCCTAACCCCGCTGCGTGCACCCTGCTCCCCCGCTCTGGGCACCCTGCACCCCGCTGTGTGCATTCTGCACTTCACCCGTCTCTGTACATCCGGCACTGCAACCCACGCTGTGCATCCTGCACTGCACCCCACTGTGCGCACTCTGCACCTCCACACACTCATCCTGCACTGCACTGTGTGTGCCCTCTACTGCACCACACTGTGCATCCCACTTGTCACTGCACTGGCCTCATCCTGTACTTCTTAGCACTGCTCTTGTGCATCCTGTGGACATCCTGGCACTGCCAGACTCATCAGCTCAGAAGAGACGAGAGCCATGAGGCACCCTGTCACTTCTAGCAGTGCAGGCCCCCTTTGTCCCTTGGGGAAGGGAGAAGTGGGAGTGCTGCCCTACTCGTGATGGGGAACTGCTCACCACAGGGTGCTGTGGTCACTAAATGTTTGCAGGGATTCCGAGACCTAAAAGAAAAATTCAAGGAGCAGAAACCTGCCTGAAGACACCTGTGTGCTGGAAACTCTCCTTGCATCCTTGCCCTGTTCTGTATCTTATAAGTGAAAGATGGGGTGGAGAAGCTGGGGAAAAGTAGCAAAGCAGGAGCTCGGGGAGGTGGGGATTGCTTCCTGGGGAAGTTTTACCTTCGTGGAAAACCACAGCTTGCCAGGAGAGCCACGCACTGCTGCTGGGGCGGGGACTGCCCAGCCCTGGCCAGAACATTGCCGTGGAACAAATATCTGGTGGGAGACAGCATTTAATGTCCACTGCTTGGCTTCAGGTGTCGCCTCAGGCCAACACTGGCTGCTGGAGCTGAGTGAAGGGAAGGTGCCAGGGTGCTGCTGGGGACTGGAGGTCACTGCTGTTGGGTGGCCAGGAGCCCACAGGATTTAGGAAGCATTTGGATGGGTAGCTTGGAATACGGAGCTGTGTGGAGCTGGTGCTGTTGTAGGACAGATGAGAACCTGTCTGTACCCTGGGACGTGCTGTGGTGGAGGGACAAGGTGGCAATGCAGAGGCACCCACACGCTGAGCTCATCCTCCTGGGGCAGTGGGTGCCACCCCTGTTGCGCTGTGAGGATATTTAGGATGCCCTTCTGCAGCTCCCGGCCTGTGTCTCCCCGCTGCCTTTGGAAAGCCCTAGGAGGAGGCAGCACTGCTGGGATGAGAATTGTTTGCTCCTTAGCTTGGCAGTGCAAACACGACTCCAGTTTTGCCAGTTGCCTGGAACCCCATAGGCCCAGGAGCAGCAGCAGTGTCATTTCCCAGTCTGCCCAGTGCCACCTGACAGCATCGAGCCTGCTGGCTTTGGAAGCCAAATCTGCTCTGGGGGCACCAGGGCTGGGGTGGGGGCATCTTCCTTGCAGCAGCCCTCTGCCTGCTGCTGCCATCTCCTGCCCCTCGTGCAGGAGAGCCTCTCTTCCAGCTAATGTCAAGTCCATTATGGAGCTGCCCTGTGCCCCCATCCCCATGCTGTGGCACCCATTGCAAGGCAGGCATGGCCTTTGCTAGGGCAAGTGTCCCTCTCTGTCTTAGAGGAGAACTAGTGCTGGGAGAGGCACTTCTGGGATTTCTAATCCAACCTCTACATGGCAGAATTGATCCTAAAGCCAGACCAGGCTGCAGAAGGCTATGGCTGATTGAATTTGGGGTGCCAAATTCATCACCAAGGCTGGAGGTGCTCCCATCTCTGGGAAGGGCCATCTGCCGCTGCAGAGTCCCTGAAGGGACACCTTCCAAGGTCAAGTGGGGTATGGCATGGGCTGTACTCTGAGGTCCCACCAGTCCCCTGTGCTCTGGTTTGGGGGGGCTCAGTGCTGGAGACCAGCCTGCTTCACCCAACTGCTGCTTTTGGTGGAAGTAGCCCTGAGCTCTCTTTTTCTGCAGACGTCCCTGGGTGCATGAGGCCCCTGTGCTCTGCAGGGCTGAGGGCAGGTCTTACCTGGTGTAAGGTACCTCCTGGCTTGGAGATCCTCCACTCCTCACTTCTTTCAGTATTTTCTAATTTCTCAAGCCTTGCTGGATGGCTCCCAGTGACACCGGGCTCTGCGGCTGGCAGGAGCTGTCGTTCCTTGAAGTGGAACTCGCTGCTGTTGCTGGGCTGCCCCAAGACAAAGCCAGAAATGCTTTGTGAAGGTGAAAGTGCTTCTGTCCTGGCAGTGCCACTGTGTTGTGGGATGGAGGAGCTACAGGGGCCTTGTCCTGCAGCCACACAGCATCAGCTCTGTCTGCACCTTTGGGTCATCTAAACTAGTCTCAGAAGCCTGGGTATGGTGAGCCCATTCCTGTAGTGAGCTCTGTCCTGTTTAGTGTCTCCTAATTCAGGTGATTCCTAGCACCTAACCTACTTCTCTTTTGCTTCCATTTAAGTTCACTGCTTCTTAGTCACAGCAGACAGATTGGTTCGTGGCTCTGCAGGATCCAGGTATGACTGTGCATGCAGACAGGTAGCAACAAAGCCTGGCAGGAGCAGCCTCCCCGCAGGAGCAGGGCCTTGGCACCAGGACATCGCCACAGCTTTTGGCCCTGGACTGTGAATGTAGTGATGGTGTGGGAAGAGCTCTCATGCATGACAGGTCCCTTCTGAACCCTTCTGTGTGGACCACAGGCCCTTTATCTCAGAGCAACAAGATTTCATTTTCTTACATCCATTCCTGTGAGAATCACTCAAGGCTTTTTCCCTTCATAAGCCCCAAGACTCCAGTCCTAGCACCTGATGTGGGATTCCTTGGGTCTCAGTGGGAGCACATCAGAGACACAGAACAGATGTTCACTGGTGGAGAATGAGCTCAAGGAAGCAAATTTATTGTGCTGCTTTAGCAGACACTGCAGAGGCACACAGTATATGGAAATTTGTGGCACGTAGCTGTTTTGCTTGCTGGGAATTCTGGAGGCAGCTAAGAAACCCTGATGAAGAGTCAGTCCAGGGCTGAGTGTCTTCCTCCCACAGAGAAGGTATGTGCGGAATCCACAGATTTCACAAGTGATCTTTTAATTCTTGATTATGAACATAATAACAAGGAATCATTGGCAAGCACAGGGGAAAAGAGCTGAGCAGAGGGCGAGCCTGCACACAGAGAGGGGAAATGGAAAGCGGCATCTCGCTGAAAGCCCTTGGGCTCCCCTCTCTGCTCCAGAAAGGCTCAAGCTCTTTGGCCATGCAGAGCTTTCACAGATTGTCCAGTGTGGACAGGAGGGGGAAGCAGCACTAACAGTACGGAGCTGGTTTGATGAGGATAAGGGAGGATTTGCAATTCCCTTTGCACAGGCTGCCCCATGTCATGCCGCCCTTGAAATTCAGCCGTACGGAGTAACACGCCGAGTACCACCACCCGCCCTCATAGCTGTAGGCACAGTTCTTACTGTAAGTGTCCTGATCCCGATCCTTTGTGGAGAACTTCATGTTGTCATGCATTGTGTTGGGATTGTCGGAGGTCATGGCATCTCCCGCCGTCCCGCTGTAGGAGCCCAGCCTCAGCCGGTAGCCGTGGGACTCATCTTCCACACTGAAGAGGTTGTAGTCTGCAAAATTGGTGTTGTCTGTGGAGTCCTGGATGAGAAACCTGACCTGGTAGACCTTCTGCTTGGCGATCTGATGGATGTACTCGGTGCCCAGCCAGTACTCAGTGCGCACATTCCCAAAGCCATACTTGTAGGTGCTCCAGGACTCGGTCCAGGTGACCGGTGTGTCCTTCTGGTTCCTCTGGATGACTGTCCAGCCCCCGCTTGTTGTATTCATTTCACAGTACACCACAAGATGGTGGAGCCCTTTTGGCTGGATGATGTAGACACCGCTGCGGCTGCCAGGGGGAAGCTCGCTGCAGTCCTTGGGCCAACCTGGGGCAGGGGACAGAGATAATTATTAAACCCCGCACAAGGAGACACTGAAAGTCCCTGGTATTTCTTTTGTGCCTATATCCTATTGCACACACATCCTTGGGCTGTATTCCTGCCATGTGCTCACAGGAGCGAATCAGTCTTGGAATGATTGATGTAAGAGTTGGGCTCTGTATCTCCCCGAGACAGCATTCAAACTGATGGGGACACACTGCCAAGGGTGTCTTGGCCTGGTGAGACCAAGCCAGACATTGCCTCCAGCCAGCACACGACGCACCCTGGCTCAGGTGGGACTTGGTCTTGCAGTGCTGTGGTGACTTCCCTGTAGCCTGCAGGTTCTGTATCACCACACAGAAATGCAGATCTGGGTTATAAAGCCATTTGCTGCTGCAGCATGGAGGCTTTAGAGCTTTATAGTCACCTCAGAAACCCTGGATAGGGTGTGATGGAGACACCCATACTGCAATAACTAAATCAGCCCTTGTGATCTCATAGGGCAAATCCATAGGCTTTCTCCAGGCTCACCTGAGTAGCTCCTCAGAGACTTCCTGGCTTGTTCGATCTGGTTGTGATCTTCCCAGGCTCTGGAGCATCAGCTCCTTACACAGCAAACAGCTGAATGCTGGGGAGGGACTTGCCCTCCTCCCAGCACCTCTGCTGCTGCTTATTCCTACTCAGATGGAACCTGTCTCGTCGTCCTATGGGCTAACGTTGATCCTCTCAGTTCACTCAGTCCCTGTCTTACCCAGACTTCTCATCAACTGTGTAGTGTAAATAGGAAAATAACCAATCACCGCTTCCCAAAGGCCGATAATGAATCATCAATTGCCAGTTTGGATCTTTAGATGGACAATTCCCTATGATGAAGATTCTCATCAACTACTGAATCCAGGATGGGGCTGGTAACAGAGTCCCCCGAGGTTATGAGCTGTGGCACCTCTGCAGCCTGTCAGAAAATCAACATTTTTCCTGGAAGGCGCCAGTGAGATGTGGGAGATGGGCTAAGGTGGCTGAGAGCTCTTAATGAGCCCAGCAGTGGTGAAGCCTTATGAGCAGATGTACCCCTTGAGAAGAGACTTACCATGGCCTGCTGGTGGACGGGGGGCAATGTCTCTGACCTGCCGAACGTGGGTGTCGCCGTTATCTGAATTAACAAGAACAGAGGAGACAAGCGTGAGTGTTGAGAGCAGACACGTCAGATGCCTGCTGCGAGACCACAATCTTCTCCCAATGATGCTCCTGTTTTTCTGTTGTTGCTCCTAATTCCAGAGGGATGTTACCATTTCACATGCCAGCCGGTTGGTAGCTTGGGGGAGTTTACATGGTGTCAGAGTGGGGCAGATGCTTCCTTAGTGAGGAGTATTTGGGCACCCTCTGTCAGGGAAAGACTGAATGGCAGTGGCAACACTGGAACGATGGTTGTTAAAGTGCAGGAGAAGCAATTAGGAAGGGACTCAGGAAGAAGAGGGATTAGAAAGGGAAGAAATGTGGGAGCAGACCCAGGAAAACTGGTGCAGATACCAGGAGCTGGAAGAGGGGCTCTGCGCAGCTGGGTCAGAAGGGGATTTGGAGGGTGTTGCTGGAAGAGAGGATGGTTTAGAGTGAATTAATGCTGTTCTTTTACAAGGGCATCTTCTGTGTGTCCCCTGATGGCTGTGAAATGGAGGAATTAATCAGAGGCTCATGAAACCACAAAAGCCATTCCCGTCCCCTCTCTGAAACAAACACCTAATGCTGCAGCCCCAGGCATCTACTCACTGCTTTCACCATCAGCTGGTGCGTTCCCTATCCCCTCCCTAGGAAGCATTTAACTTAGCCTCGTGCACTGCATACAAGCCCGTTCCTTCTCTGACTACACACTGAATACCCTTTTCCCTGCAGACAGACTGCATGTTACTATCACCTCCCCCTTCTGATTTTGGGGCTAAGCCCCTCAGCTCTTCAGCCTCTCCTGACACAGTCTGCCCGCCGTATTTTTGACCCTTTTCCTTATGACTCCCTCCAAATGTGTCTCAAAGCCTATGAGTGAACGTGGTGGTTGGCCAGAGCCCATGTGGAGTGGGAAACACTCACGTAACATGGTCTAGAGGACTTTCCTACCACGGTATTTACTTTTACTACAGCCGTATGAAGCTGTTCATGCATGTTTGTTTTGTAAGCTGCCGTCTGCCCCTGCTCCTTTCTGCCTTCACTTCCCATCCACTTGGAAGCACTTCCCATCTGCTTGGAAGCACTTCCCATCCGCTTGGAAGCACTTCTCCACAAGTCAAGACTTGCGGATGCTAGCCTGTCTCCTCTGGCGTGACCTCCCTGCTTACCCATCTTGCACTCATGGTGTTTTCAGAGCGCCCCACCAGTGGTCTGGGTGGGAGACGAGTGTGAAGCCCAGAGCACACCCCCTTTCTCTACCCAGATTTGCAGTTCCTGGTGAAGCCCAAGCTCTCATCTCAGTCCCAGGTGCTCCCTGTGTTGGCAGTTTCCAGACAGCTGACCATTGGTGAAGGCTGATGTGAAACAAGCATCAAACGCTCACAACTTGTGTTCTTCTGCCAAGAACGCTTCTTCCTCCCTTTGAAGGGAACCAGCTCTTTCTGCCATGTCATGTCCCACCAACAGTCCCCAGTTTTATTCCAGGAGCATTTCTTGGAGGCTTCCTTATTGCTCCAATATTCCCTGGTATTTGTAGGTTGCTCTGTGCCATCATCTGGCTGATTGCTCTGTGCTCTGTGCCGCTGCTTAGACTTTTTCTATGGACTTCACTTGGTTCTTCTCTGTATTCCCTTCTCTCTTGAAGCCAGTTCTCCACTGACCTTGCAATTTCCAGAGGTGGCTACTGTTCTCCACGTCCCCAAAACGCACTGTGATTGTCTGCCTTAACATCTTTAACACTGCTTCTCCCATGGCCAACAACACCCTTGGCTTGGTCTTGCTGCCAATGAGACTGAACCTGTCCCTTCCTCTCGGATCGTGTAAACTCTTGGCTTTGGACTGTTTGGCTCACTTATGGGCAGAAGAACTTCATGCCAGACAGGAGAAGAGGCAGGCAGCAAGCAGAGGAGGGCTCTGAGGTGACTCTTGTTGCAGTAAGGCAGCCCGCATTGCTCTTGCCCACACAGATCAGTATTTAGAGCCCCCTCTGTGTGGGTGCGGCTGGGCTGATGAGGGGGTCTGTGTAGGGTCTGCTCACCTCCCCCTGTCGTACTTACCCAGCTGGGAGGACTCCGGGGGAGCATTCATAATTTCATCCAGCGTGCCATTGAAGAGATACAAGTTTTTTATGTCAAAGGCAGGAAGAGATGCTGCCAGGGCCAGCAGGCAGGTGAAAAGCAGGAGATGAAGGTGCTGGGTAGCTGAAATGGGAAGAGATTAGAAAAAGAACAAAGAGGTCATAACTCTCCCATTAGAGAGCCATGAATCCCATTTGACTCCTTTGCTTGCAGGGTAAAACAGGAAAATAAAATGGTTTATGTAGAGCTCCCTCTTGGAGCCATAAGCTCCAGTTTTCTCATTTAGCCAAGCTGGCAGGCCCTCATTGGCAGGGGTCATTAGCAGTGGCACCTGACAGAGGCGCTTTGTGAGACAGAAGAATTGCAAAAACCTTCCAAACCCACGGTGTCTGTGATCAGAAATCCCTGTAAAAAACAGGTCTCAGGTCAAGCAGGGTGAGCATGGAGGGAGGAATTCCCCTCTCCCCCAGCTCCCACTGCGCTCCCGCCACACTCGGGTGCTGTAAGCTGGTGCTACGCCTGCCTGCAGCCCCAGCTTGTGGGCAGCAAGAGGCCTGATGTCTGGGTGGGAATGAGCCCTGGGCAGCGCTGTGCGTATTTCTCTGCTCCTTGTGAGAGGGGCAGCACAAACTTTCAGGAATTACTGCCTGGCTGGTGCAAATGATGTCCTTTGGTTGTATGGCTACTTCAAAATTCCCGTGTGTGGCTCTGCTGTGCTCTTGGTCAGAACAGCTAGGAGAACCAGCACACTTTTTGCAATATTAAATCTAGATAAAATAATAGAAAGTTTATCATGATTCCTAGAGAGCAGGGCATTGTGGGGACACCTGCCTGTGGGGAAATCCATTCAGGATATGGTAGATGTCACTCGCCCTGGCCAGTGACCTATGTGATCCCCCCACTGTTCGAAAAGGAGCAGAGCCAAACCTGTTGCACTACACTGGGATACCTGGGCTTGGCACCGTTCCCCGAGCTGACTGAGAAGGGAAATGTTCAGTGTTAGCTGTGTGCGATTGCAGCCACCCTAGAGACAAGCACCCCTTCCTGGGAATGCTCAGAGCCATCCCAGCCGTTTGTGCTGGTTACAGCTTTACAGCAAAGGTCTTTTAAACACACTTCAGTCCAGCTGATTTGCTTCTCAATTCCTACACAACATTTAGTGTCTTGATACACTTGTGTTTAGAGCCATGTTTAAAGAGGGCTCTTCTTTAGGCCACCGGAGGAGCAATGCTCCCTCCACTGCTGGCCCATTCCCCCACGAATGGTCGTGAAAGGTCTGGGTGGGCAGGGGATGCGGGAAGGGGATCAGAATCTCCCTGATGTTCTTCTGGGGGCAGCAGCATGCTTTCAAGCACCCAATTTCCAGATCTTGATACCTGCTCAGTATTGCTCCTTAATCAAGAATATATAAAAAAATCCATTTTTTGTTCCAGGGTATTTAATACTTTCCTTGGAGAACTGGAAATGACGAGGAATGTTTGGCAAATATAAGGCTTGTAAAATGGGCTGTCTGGCACCCCAGGGCGACACCGGCAGCTGAAAGCAGCAGAACATGCAGACTCCTGCTCCAGTTCCCAGCCTAGAGCGCAGCGAGCCCAGACAATGTAATGGACGGAGCACCGGGATGGCCGGGGTGTGGAGAGAAGGGAGCCCTGCAGAAGACAGAGTGCCAGGAAGCCCTGTGACCCACAGCCACCTGCAGCAGTGCCATGTCCCCCTGTCCCGTCCCACACTCACCCATGCCGTCTCTGCGGGGACCCTGCGGAGCAGGAAGCTGAGCAGCTCTGGCCTGGCTGGAGGGGTGTCTAGCCCGAAAGTTATAGGGCTCAGCAAGGGAGTGGGTGGAGGCACGAGACCCAGACCACAACACTTGTCCTCTGGTTGGAAACAGGACTAGTGGTTTAGGGCTTATTTGCTCTTCATCATTAAGTGATATGTCCTCAGACAATGAAGGCTGTGTCTCACAAAGGTGAAGGGCTTTCTTCAGTGGCAAAGCAAATAATTCAGTGCCAATACACAAAGATCCTTAAAACAGCCGCGATTTACAGCACCTGGCTGCCCCTCCTGCCCTGGCAGGGTTTCCCCAGGGAACGGCGTCCTCTGGGCACCTCTGCACATTTCAACTCCTAAGTAAACAACCAGATGACATTCCCCCTCCTGGATGGAAATCAAACATCAGGCGTAAATCACTCTTTCTAGAACAAGCATTGAGCCCAACTGGGGACCCCGTTAGACCCTTCAGGGAAGAGGTACTCTAGTGTTCCTGGCAAATTGTGTACCGAACTTCAGCAAGTGCCACTCCAGGTGCCTCCTGACGTGCCAGGCCTGCCACCACCACGCTGCCTCTTGTGCAACATGTCCTGCAGTCTCCCCGGGCCGCGCAGCCCTTGCAGCGGTCACAAGGGAGTTTTGGGAATTGTGACGTGACACTGATGTAAAATGGTCTCACTTCAAGCCCCTCTCTGCTACCAGGAGTGCTTACACCATGTATTTCCTACAGAAAATGCCAGGCCACCCTTTTCCCAGGGATAGATACAGTATTCTGAGTTATGAGGGCTCCAGCACCCCAGCATACACCTTGTGCTGGATAGCACGAGATGGCCCCGAGCCTGTGGAGGAGCAGGCTGGGCTTTTCGCGCAGGCTGTTGGCTTGCAGCGTGGCTTCCCAGTGACAGAGGCTCCTGTGCGTGCCCATCTGCGCTGCTCCTTCTGCACAACAGCAGATGCAATCAAAGGCAGGCAGCAACCCTCAGCAGAGCTTCACAACAGCTTCCAGCCCCTGGCCAGCTTTTCCAGGAGGCTGTGGCGGGTGTTCGGGTTAGGATGTGCAAAGCAGGCAGGGGGAAGGCCACAGAGGGGATTCCTCTGCACCTCCAGCTGTGTCCTGGGGCCCCTCTCCTGCTCAGTGGGTGTTTGATGTTGAAAGAGGCGCAGTTGTGGCACAGATCTGTTTATTGCTTCGTTCTTGGCTGCATCTGGAAAAATGCAGCCAGAAGGGCGAGGGGAGGGGTTATTCACTTCCACGTGTGAGATGACAGTGGGAGTGCTGTGTCCTGTGTGGGGCTCCCCTGAACACTGCAGCGACCAGAAGGAGTCCAGCAAAGACCACCAAGACTGTCGAGGCAGGAGCACGACATATGTGGGCATGCTGAGAAAGACATGCTTGTTCAACTGGAGAAGAGAAGGATGAGATGGGATCTTGTTGCTGCCTACAGCTACCTGGTGGAGGGGTGGACAGCAGACAAGAGTCCGGCTCCTCAGAGTACTGTGTCTAATTTTGGACCCTTCATTACAAGAAACATATTGACAGACCAGAGCAAGTCCAGCGGAGGCCACCAGACCCATCAGGGGCGTGGAGCTCAGGACATGTCAGGAGAATCTGAAAGAACTGGGCTTGCTCCACCCGGAGAAGAGCAGGCAACAGGGAGCTCTTACTGCCAATACAACTGCCCCATGAGAGGATACAGAGAACATGGAGCCAGGCTCTTCTCATCCACGGTGGTGGGATGAGAAGCAATGGATCTGAGTTGGAACATGGAAATTCCAGTTAGAAATAGGGACTTTTTTTTTAACATGAGGTTGGTCAACTTCTGGAACAGATGCCCAGAGACAGGCTGTGGGATTTCTGTCCTCAGAGGTGTTCAAGACTTGACTGGGCAAGGACCTGATTTTTTAGATCTGCTTTTAGCAGGGGTTGGACCAGATGGCCTCCAGAGGTCCTTCCCGACCTAAATGGTTCTACCACCCTGTGATTCTGTGACTCTCTTTGGAGGTGCACAGGGATAGGATGAGAAGCAACAGACATAATGGAAGGGAGGGAAATTAGAATTAGATAAAAAAAATTTCAGCCTGAGGGTGTTCAAAGACTGAAAAAAATAAAAGAGAAGCTGTGGGACCTCCATTCCTTGACATATCCAGGACTGACCCAGACATGGCCCTAAGCAACCCATTCCAAATTGTCCCTGCTCTGGCCTTGAGGTCAGATCAGGGACATGCGGGGGTCCTCCTGGTCATGGGTACCCCGTGTTCCTCCAGCTCTCCCCAGCCCTTATGCACTGGTATTTCCCCAGGAGCGCAGCCATGGAGCCAGGCCTTGTGCAAGATGTGGGGCTGGCCACAGCAGAAGGTGCCTTGAGAAGCCACTTTGTAAGCCCAAAGAGCTGTAGGGCCTCTGGAACATGAAAGACCCACACAGCCAGGCCAGTGTCATTCGCTCCTCCAGGATTAACTGCTACTGCCACGGCCCTGAGGGCACCATGGCCCTGAGGGCATCAGCCCTTCATGGCTGGTGGCCAGGCCCACCTGGGACCCCCACCTGGGCCCATGAGGCCTCTTTCAGCTCAGCCCAGGGCCTTCAATCCTAACCTGAGCCACACTCTGTGAGTTCTGGTCCCAGTCTCCTCTCTGCCTTTCTTTCCCAGATGGATCTTAGACCTGCACCATGGACAGAGCACTCAGACCCTCACTGCAGCTTATCTCCAGCCCTGCCTCTTGCGGCGTGTCCCCTTTTGTTGAGGGTCTCGGGCCCGGCAGGCTGCTTGCCTTGCTGGGAACTGCTGCCAACACTCAGCTCTGCTGCTGTGCTCAGACTCGGTGGGACAGAGCCCCTCCAGCGTAGGCATGGCTGGCCTTCCCTGCTCCCAGTGAGCTCGCTCATGCCTTCATTCTCCCTCAGCTCTGCATGGTACCCCCTGCTCTGCCCCTCCAGAGTGCGACCACTGGTCATTGTCCTCAGCTCTGTTCTGAGGTCCTCTTGCAGCCAGCTTCTTAGAAAGAGGTCCCACATCAGCATGATTTAGAAAACCTTTGTTTGATATCTTTGAAGACACCATCCACTGGAATACTTGAGCTAAAGTCAAAGCCAGGGTCTCTGCTGGACTGTAGATAAGCTGTCCTGTTGACACACTCT